GGAACAGAAGTTGTCCAAGGTTGTGAGCCACCATGTGGGTTCGAGTATTGAACCTGTGACCTATGAAAGAGCAGCAAGCGTTCTTAACTGCAGGGGCTGTCTCTCGAGACCCTTAAAAAATTTAATAACCCCTTTTACTTTAAAGAAGTCTTTAGAAACAATTATCATTTAATTATACAGCTAATCAAAAGACTTATTTAAAAAGTATCCAGCTTTTGCTGATCTTTGTTGACAATCTCAGAGCACTGCTGCTTTTTCTTATGTCACAGATGCTCTGCCCTCTGTCTCTTCCCTTAAGGTATAGCTCAGTCTGTAATCACTTGTCATTTTGCTTGGCCTTGGGTACCCTTAACTGCTTTGTATGACTTCCAGTGTGGGATTCAGACAATGCCTCTATTTTCTGTCTGAACTCTCAGTGGGAGAAGCAGGGTGTCCTTCAGGGCAGCCTGTTGACTGGCTAGTAACATGGACCATATGGCAGTTTTAAAATTTGTACTTTTGTGGTGATTGTCCCTATTATTTTCTATACTGGGTATACTAGTTTATGTTTACCACTTACATTCTCTGTGTGTGTGTAATCCATGAGGTCTTTGCCATATTGCCTACCTAGGCTGTCCTTCAGCTCCTGTGCTCAAGACAACTTCATAACTCAGTCTTTTTATTTTCTGGGATTACAGGTCTCCCTGATTTCCATTAAGTTCCTGTTAATATCTGTATAATCTATCTTGATATCTATACTTTAAATTTTTATTAACCTGTATAGATTTTAATAAGTTATTTTAATTATTTTAGAGAAATATTTCAACTGTATTCTTTATACTTTCTTAATTTTCTATTGGATTGATTTTTGTTCTTTGTTAGTCTTTTCCTTCTGTTCACCTAGAATTTATCTCCTTTATTGTTTTATTACATGGCTGTTTATTAAAATGGAATGTCAGGCCATTGATTCAAAACTTTTATAATATAGTAATTTTGAAATTAATAAATTAATTAATTTCTAAATTTTCTTTTATGTGCATACATGTTTTACCTGTCAGTATGTATGTGCACCATGTGTGTTCCTGGGGCTCAAGGTCAGAAGAGGGCACCAGATACCCTGGAACTGCAGTTACAGATGGATGTGTATGCTGGGAATTGAACCCAGGTCCTCTGCAGGAGCAGTAAGTGCTCTAAACCTCTGAGATATCTCTTCACTTCTCAATGAATTTTTAATTTACCAATTTAAAATTTTAATTTAAATAACTTCATCAGCTGCATCTCATAAATCATGTCATTTTACTTTATTTAGTTGGAAATAGTTTAACTCCCATCTGATTTTTTGTTTGACTTATGGGTTGTTAAAAATTTACTGGTAACTTCCAGATATTTTTGGAATTCTGGATAAGGTTTGTTGCCAGTTTGCCATTTAATTTTGTCATGGTCATACAAGACAACACATTGTACAATTTCAATCTTTTGAAATATTCAGTTAACGCCCTTATTGGTTATATTAAAATATACATTTATTTTTGGGTTGCCACCCTTAGGCTAGGACAAATAACTATAAACAGTTATTCAGTAATGTGTTGAATTTTAAATGCATATATTGGAGTTCCCAGGGAAACAGAGTGAGGCAAAATGAGAGTGCATTGACTTATCAGAATAGATACCCTTCCTTTATTGGTGAAATAGATACACAATGTAAAACTTTTCCCACTTGATCTTTGGAATTTAACTACATTGGAGATTAGTATTTTGATGGTTCAGCACAATTATATGCCCGTTATGTCCCAGATGTGCTGCGTCTGTGAATTAACTGGGACTTTTCAAAGGGGGAAAGAATATGCTGATTGGTGTAGCTTAGGGTTTCAGAGGCAGCCTGGCTATGGAAATAATCCTCAGTGTGGTCGGTTGGCCACATCAACTGGCAAGCCACTTAGCTTCCCTGTTTTGTTTCCATGTGTAAAATACAAGTAAGGACAGTTTTTCCCCCTGGCTTTATATTAGAAAGTTTCAAATGAAGGGAGTATGATGGAGACTTATGTGGCCAATATATTTAATTGCATGTTCTAGATACTATACTATATGTTTCATTTTAAAAATGTGATATACACTTAAGATTTTTCTGCTTTTTGACTATAAGGTAAAATTAACAAGTGGGAAAATTTATTAATATCAGCCACTGAATTCACAGATAAAAGGAGCAGAGCCCTGAACAGTTCCATACAGGTAAAATCTTATTTGATTTTTCAAATGCACATTTAAGATGAGGGATGCAAAGGACATTCCTTAATCTGGTAATAGGGGAAAAGGAAAGAAACAGAAAGACAAGAAGGAGGAAAGAAAGGAAGGAGTGAAGGAGAATGTGAGGAAGGAGTGAGGAAAAAGGAAAAGACACAAGTAAAATAAACAGAAAGACAGAGCAGATATTTTCACAAAGAAATGGTGGTGACATATTTTTAAAAATCATCAGTGACAAGAATAAGTCCAAAATTTTAATATTATGAGGCTTTTTACTGGATGTCCAAGCCAGCCCCGTATGAAACCCATACATGAAATTATATTAATATTATTCAGGGTAAAAGAAAATTCCATATTGTCTATAGATATGTCTATTTTATAAAATATAATATGGTGGCTGACTTTAATATCAGTATACCAGTGAAAAATCCAAATGCATTTCTGTAATTAGAAGCATGGGAAAAGCTTTTTCATGATAATCAGAAATCAGACACGAGAGAAGCAACACTCTAGAATGTTCTGGGATAAAAACTACACAAGGTATACCAGATAGGAATGTACAAAAGATAAAATTAAAAATAAAGTGGACTATACAAAAATAGGATAGAGCCACATAAAGGGATAGACATGCCAACCTGATGACTGATGACCTGATGACTAGGAAGGTCAGGTATCCTCTGGATAGCCAGTTCCCTCTCCATTCACCCCCCAGAATCAAAGAAAATGCAATCCAAACTTGTTGCAACTCAGAGTGTGCTGGGGAATTGGCATGCAGATACTCACATATACATGGAAGAACAAAAGGCAAGGAACAGGAAAGTCACATTTGGGTCTGAGGAACAAGAATTAGGGGTGTTTCGTTGGAGACATCATGTCCTGCAATGGGCTGACACAAAATAAAAAGAAAAACAAACAAAAAACTTAAGGCAGTGTAGAGTTAGCAGAGAAACTGAGGGATTTATCCCTGGAACAGAAAAGAGAGTTCAGAGACAGACTCAAAGCAAATGGAGCACCGAGTTCCCAGACATCGGTCAGTGTTCTCTGAGGGTTTAGGATAGTGACAGTAAGAAAACCTGCTCCATGCATACTGTACTGGGTATGGTGATGCACTCCTGAAATCACAGCTTTTGGGAAGCAGAAGATGGAGAATCACTTCAAGTTCAGGACAACCTGGTCTATATAGTGAGACTCTGTCCCAAACAAAACAAACAAACCAAAACAAATTGTATGCTGAAGTTTGAAAAGATATAGTGGCAGGTGGATATGCTAAAAATGCATAAGCCTAACATTTTATATCCGAAAGGAGGCAATTCTGGCAAACTTGCCAAGGGATCACAAAGCTCAACTTCACTAGCTTTCATAAGTGAGCACAAATGAACAGTACAAGGCAGGAGGGCAGTCCCCCAGCTCTGCAGTGTTAGGGGTGCAAGTGAGTCTCAAAGTGCATTGTTAGTGGGTATTTCCAGCAGTGACCAGCCTGGTAAGGCAACGGGTGGAAGAAGGGCTAGATTGTTCTTGAGGATTCAACTGATTGATTCTGACCTTCGAGAATCTGGGGTAGCTACAGGCTGACATCAAGATTATGACCTTCATAGTCCATGCCTCTTCTTCCTTCTCTCTGTTCTTTCTAGGTAGCCAATGCCTTCTCCCTTTCTGCTATTTAAGTGTCAGGGAAGAAAATCCCAGTGACTTTGGAGATCCTTTCTGTCCCTGGCACTCAGGGGATCTCCTTTTAGGAGATCTCTGATCCCTGGACCCTCATGGCAGAGCTCAAGCTGCTGCTTTGACTCTTAAGTTGGGGAAGAGCAGAATTAGTACACTTCTGGAGGAAGTTATCTCTGCTACTTGCTTGGGGTGAGAGCAAGGTGGAGGTGTTGGAACAGAAGCAGCTGCGCCTGGTGTAATTCTTGAAATATGGAGAACAGTTTGAAGGATTAATGGGAGGATGTGTGGAAATCTGAATGAAAGTCAAGAGGGTGTGCTGGCTAGGGAGTGAAAAATTAGTTCACTAACAGTGTCTGTTATTTCTACCAAGGCCCACTATGTTGGCCTGAAGAATTCTGGGACTGAAAGAAGGTTGTGGGGATAATAATAATTGAACGATGTCTAGAGATTTGGGAGAAGAATACTTAGTTTTTGAGACAGAGTCTCACATTTACACCAGTTTATAGTCCTAACAATAATGTACAAAAGGCTCCAATTTCTCCTTACCTTCCTCCAGGCTTGTTACTATTTTGAGGGGAGCAGCTATCCTAGTGGCATGAATTGGCACCTCATTGTGGCTTTGATTTTCATTTTCCCACTGATTATTGCTTCTGAAAATCTTTTCACTTTGCCATTTGTATGCTTCAAATAAATGTCTGTTTCTGTCCTTTGCTTACATTTCAGTAGGTTTTTCTACTGTTGAATTGTCCATTTTCTTGTTTTGAGATGCTGTCTCCCTAGCTAACCCAGGGTGATCTCAAACTTCTGATCCTCCTGCCTCAGCCTCTCGAGTACTGAGATCAAAGTCTTTGGTTATCAACACTGATTCAGAAGAATAATATAATTTTTAAAATGAGAATCAAGAGGGTAGTGAGTGTAAAGGGGGGTCAAGATGATAGTCAAGATTAAGGTTAAGTGTTAGAACATCCTTAATGGAAAGTTAAGGGAAATATGGAATTCATGAAACTACTGGCTGAGAGCATGGGACATAAAATCCCATGCTGGAAGTGAATGAATGAAGGCCACGAGGAACGCAATTAATGATGCAACAGAATGGAGTGTAGTGATTGTTGAAGATGCAGGACTGTCTATCTGTACCTGAAAATGGATTGTGGGGAGTGAAGGTAAGCAGAAAAACACATTATCAGGTTGGACTTCTATGGGACTGTGAAGAGCTTCATACTTGTGGGACTTCTGGGAAGGAGACTATATAAGAAGGCCTAGGTAATGTTGAGAACACCATAGGGAAATAAGGGAGTGAAAACTTATTCCAGCAGTGAGCAGAATAGATAGTAAAGTCCCAGTCACTAAAGATGTTGCTTTCTAGGGACAGAGTAAGTAACCTGGAGATGGGGGGTCCAGGTGCTTTTCTGACCTCCACTCCTGACCCTAAAGCCATGGAACACAAAACCACACCTGCTGTACCCTGCTGCTCTTCTGACTCCACATGTAACAGTGGACATAACTGGGGGAAAGGATTTGGTTCCAAAAGACCTATAGGCCACTCTGACAACTTCTACAACCATTGCATCACTATCCAAATCAGGGATTAAAAGCATTTCTGCCTCTTCCAGTCCCACAAATGTCACATTTGCACTTGTGAGTATCATGTTTGTCAAGGTAAGGATCAGGCCTTTTGCACATTACTGACCTCAGTCCTTCAATCTTTCATGTTAGGGGAAAACATGGGCCCTTGTATGCTGTGAGGGCCTCAAGGAAGGAGCAGGGGGCAAGGCTGAAGAGGCACCTGGACCAAGGACTGATAAAGAATATGGCTGTTGCCCCTAAAATCTACAAGCATGGCAAGTTGTTGCCTGTTGAAGCAGAAAACTGCAGTGAGTGTCTTTGGCTGGTAAAAGAAGCTGAATTTAGGTGGAGAGAACATTAGTTATTCTGTCAGTATCCCTGTCTTAAAATTCCAGTGTGGCTGTTGGTATTCACTCATCAAACTAATGTTAGGAATCAAATGCTTTGGAGAAATGTCCAAGTTTGTTGCTTATATTTTATGTAGGTAGACTTTTGTTGTTGAGTGGTAAGTTTGTTGTTTTGAGATACTGTCTTGCTAGTTAGCCCAAAATGTTATCATACCTCTGATCCTCCTGCATCAGTCTCCCTAGTGTCCATTCACTAGAAAAAGAAAGCTATCCAAGAGCTGGGAAGGATCCATAGTGTGACAAAGCTTCCAAGTGGGGCTGGAATATTTGGAATGATGGTGACAGTGAGGTTTGTCTAAGCTGTGCCTGGTGTTTTACAGATGGGAAGGAGAGTACTGTGCACAAGAGTGAGGCCAGGTACCACAAAGCACCACAGGAGGTAAGGAGACTCTTTTGCTTATGGGAGGTGCTTCCAGAAGCTACTTTCCTGGCCCCATGTACTGTGTCTTAATGACATGTGTTCCATCCCCAAATCTACCATGATTTACTATGTGACATTGGGATTAACTACATCTTCCTGGATTTTAGTATGAACTGAAAATTAAAGGTAAGCCTCAGTGATTTTCAAGGTCTTCAAGTTCTGACATTCTGGGTTGCTGTGCTTATCCTACAACATGTTCACCTCTCCTCTTTTCATGGTTGGCCTGGTACCCAAATTCCTATTATTGTCTTTACTCCAGATGGGAAAATCTCAAGGAACTCTGATGCATAGCCAGGGAAGAGAACGTTCAATCCTGCCTTATACTCCTGTGACCTCAGAGCAGAAACCAATGATTTCTTTTTCCCGGGACCCTCGTGGTCTCTCTGCCAAAAGGTGAGTTGAATAAGGACCTAAAACCAGTCATATCTCATATTATTCCATGTTCAACACTGTGGTTGGTGCCATGGGAGGTAGGCAAATAAGAAAGGAGAAGAGGAGAGGAGGAAGAAATGTAGCAGCAGGAGAGGAAGAGGAGAAGGAAGAGAAGAAGGAAAAGAAGAAGGCAGTACCTTAGAAGGAGCGATGAAGAGAGGACACTGAGGCTTGAGAACTCCCAATCTTGGGGACTCGGATAAGTGATTTCATCTTTCCGAGAATATGTTCTCCAGTAGCCACTCTTGGAAAACAGTCTACATTTATAACATTGACAAGAGAGCTAGAAGAAAGCATACCACACAGTAAGCATTCAGTATGCCTGGGCTGTTACTCCATACTACAGTAAATGGACGTGAGAGAAGGTTCTGTTGGAATTGGGGGTCATGCTGGGGAGGGCCATAGAGACCTAGAGGAATGCTGAAGGTGGCAGAGGAAACTTCCTAGAGAAGGGCCTGGCTTGTCCTCCATTGTGGGTTCTTTTCTTCCTTTCTCAGCTAGTTTTGGGAATGGGGAGGGAGACAGAGTCACAGTGAGTTTCCCAGGAAGCAGACTCTGGAGACCAGCATTGAGGTGAAGATCTCATTTAATGTGTGTGTTCACTGGCATATACACATACATTGCCCAATCATCTACGAACATATTGAGTTACTGCCCAATGAGTCCAAATAGCACACAACTCGAGTTATGTGAGAGTATATGGGGTGGGCAGTATGTCCAGGCAGTGTGTGTGTAGACAAAGGGCATAAAGCTGGCAACTCCCTGGGCTTAGATGCCAAATTATAGGGTTTTCAGTTAGTTGGGACTCCATTACGAGCCATCTAGTGTTCCAGAAACTTGAGTCTGCTCAAACAGCCACAGGAGGTGTTGGCAATTCTCATGTTCCCTGTCATTTAGTGACATCATCTGAACAGAGACTGACACCTCACTTCATAAGCAGTGGGGATTGGGCAAAATGGAAGCAAGAGCCAGCCCCTGAAAAAGGAGGGGCATATCTTTCCAGCTACTTTGCAGCATAGTCACTTTGGATTCATCATCATCTACATTATAGACCTGGGAAGAAAGATCTGGGATAAGTTAGTGTTTCAAGAAACATATAGAAGTTTCCAAAGGAAACGGACCCAGAAGTGCCTAGTTCAAAAGGACTAACATTTTCAGGCCATTCAGATGTCCCCATCCTGGTTTGCAAACCCCTGGTCCTCTATGTGTTCTGGTAGTAGGTTTCCACCAGAGGGTTTAATCCCCTGGCCTCTCCTCTTATTGTTTCCAGATTTTCAAGTGTGATCCTGCAACCCCGTGCTACCCCTGGCCCTCTTCTACTGCAGTCACAGGTCTTGGCAAAGTAGTGGGGTCCAGGTTCTTGGGAGGGAATGAGCATAGTGGATGGGAAGAGCAAAAAGCCTTGGGGTTGGGATAGGTGCTAGAGGGAACTGGGCACTTAAAGGGGCACCTGTGCTGGTGGGAGGAGGTGTGGTTTCCCAGCTGCAATTATCTAATGTCATTTCTTTTGCAGGTCCCCAGAGCCACCAAGCAGGATTCTGTTGCTGCTACCTCAGAGTGGCAGAGGAAGCTGGAGGCTGCTGAGGCTCTGTTGACCCTGAAAAACTCTTGTCAGCCTCCTCCTGATTTTCTGTCTCTTCAACAGCCTGGCAGCATGCCAGGTAGCTGTCTTCATCAAGGTGGAACATGGGGTGGGGGGAGTTGGGAAGTCGGAGGGGTTGTGGTAAACTGGTTGTGCCCGGGAAGCCGGATTTTGGATCACCTTGGATCCCACACTTCAGTTCCTCAGTTTGGTGTAAGAGGTGTTACTCAGGGGCTTCTCGGTGAATCTTCAGTTCTCAAGTGTCTTTAGCTCAACAGCGAACGCTGGGACCTGAAGTAAAAATAAACCCACCACCACAGCAACAACAAAAGACCCCTGTAGACTGAGGCCCCCCAACGTGGCCATGTCTTACTGGAGCATATCAAATGGAAGAAATAGAATTAGGTATAATGACTCTCAGCCCAAGGCAATGTCTCCACTCCACCATAGACTGGGGAGGACTACTGGGAAGTCAGGCCCAGGGGATAAGAGTTGGGAATGGAACGAGATCATGCTGACAACTTCAGTGCTTTCCATGTAGATGTGAAGCCTGGATGCTTCCCAGCCTAAATATTTCCAGTCACTTTCACTGCTCCATCCAGTCATGAACTCAAAGGAGAATTACATAGTTGGGGAGGCTGGAAGGGAAGGCTGATTCCTGGTGAGAAAACAACAAAATCCTTGATGAAGTGTGTTAGTGGGAAGCCACTTTGGGTGGTGGACATACTGGAACAAAGGGTAATGAGTGAAGCTGGAGACCTTGCTTCTCACAGAGGTCTGGCAGAGTGGGTGATGCAGGCTCGGCCAGCAAACCTGGGAGAGGGGTTGAGGAAATGTAGCATTTCTCCAACACAGTGAGGATCATATATATAGACCTCAGGTTTGACTGAAAGAGAAGCAGCAGTAGAGCCAAGACCAGAGATAAGGGAGTGTGTCTGTTTTTGGTTTCAGTGACAAATCTTAGATTGGGTGGGACACCAAAGTGTGAGGGTTTCACTGGGTGATGACATGTATATAATCTGGTTCTGTATTTTGCTTTTCCTTTCAGGTCCTGCTGGAGAGCGAGAACTGCCCCTTCTAGTGCCTACCTGCCACCACCGTCTGCCACCTCTGTCTCACTTACTGGACATCTGAAGTGCATGTCCTTCTTGACCTAAGAGCCCAGAGTGGAAGGCCTAACTAGAGCACTGCCTGTTTGGTATCCTGTTTTATGTCTGAAATGACTAACATTTTTAATTTTTTTTTTATTTTTGAAGTAAGTTCTCATGTAGCCAGCTTGGCCTTGGCCTCAGTATATAGTTGACAATGACTTTGAATTCCTGATTCTTCTGCCTCCACCTCCCAAGTGCTGCGATTAAAGGCATGAGCCACCATGCCTGTCTTTTTAAAAAAATTATTACTAGTTTAAGTGTTCGGGAGTTTTATAAGCTTTCAGACCCTTTTTTATGACATGGAGCATTTACTCAACTCAAGTTTGATGTTACACCTCTATCCATTATTCTTTTGGAATAATTGCTGTTGATGCTTCTTAGAGAAACAGTATTGTGTGATCTGATGTGATCAATCAATGGGATTCTGAGTGGGTTTGTATGCCACAAATGTTTCATTTGTCCTGTGACTGTATATACAATGGCACACTCCTGTATGTAATCATTCATGTGGAATCATGAAGATTTTTCACTCTGTGTTTAGGCATATGTGTGTGAACAAATAATAAACGTGTGCTGTAGGCACTGAAAAATATGACTTGTTTTTTAAAAACAGTATAAGATAAATATCAAGGAGTATTGTTTACCTTCACCAAGTCCCAAGTTAACAAATCATTTATTTAAATTAATGATTGAGTGAAAAATTCAAACCTTGATGCAGCAGATATCAGTCAGAAGGTCTTCTCAAAAGTACCCCTTATTTGCTACCCAGGGTAACACATTGAGTGATTGATAGGAACATTTTTTTTTTTTTGTTTTTGTTTTTTCAAGGCATGGTTTCTCTGTGGCTTTGGAGGCTGTCCTGAAACTAGCTCTTGTAGACTAGGCTGGTGTGGAACTCACAGAGATCCACCTGCCTCTGCCTCTCGAGTGCTGCAATTAAAGGCATGTGCCACTACCGCCCGGCGTTAAGAACATTTTTAAAGTCTGAATATTCTGAGTCTTTGATCGATGTTCCAAACACATGAACTGCAGGTCTCACCAGGCAGAGAGCTAGCTAACTGAACATAGCTTCATCTGGATTTTTAATTGTACTTTTACTTCCTTTCTTTACTGCCTCATTTAAAATGTCAGGGTCTCTCTGTGTAATGCAGGTTGGCCTTGAATTCACTGTGTACCTCAGGTTGGCCTCTAAAGATCTTGTGGTGAGCCTCTCAAGTGATCTAAGATTATAAATATGCTTTATCATGTCTGGCTTCCTGCTTCTATTTTTTAATGACACCTGTTTGATGATGATGATATCCAACTACTACAATTCTTTTATCTTCTGAGGCTGTGAAAAGTCAGGATTCTTATATTCTCTATTTGATGGCAGAGAAACAAACACATAAAATCAATGAGGATTTGGAGAATTAAACTGGGCTGAAGTCCATCTCATATCCTCTTTCTTCCCATGATCCCAAAGTGACATGAATATGACATCATGTTCCTGCAGTAGTATTTGGTCAAAGCCTCACCTTGGTTCACATTTGAGTTAGCTAAAGGGGGAAATATATTTTGGCAGAAGAATGTTGCACAAGAAGAGGGAAGACAACAGAAATAACACAACAGATATTTGAGGAAGGAAAGAGACTATTATTTCCTTGGGCCCTTTCATTTTTGTGAGGATTATTGCCTTTGTGTCGGGGGTTTTCAGACCTAACACTCTCCCCCTCCCAGTGTTTTATAATTGACAAGTCTCTGTCTGGTATATTTTAGTTCTCTTTGGATATCTATGCTAATGTACAGTGTTAAGCTTTTTGGTATATCTCCTTTTCTCATGTACTGTCACAGTTCACAGTTTAAAAACCTTACCTCTGCTATATTTTGATTCTTATATCTTATATGACACCATTGGTCAGGTCTGAACATATCCATCTTTTCAGAGCATCTCTAGAGTGGGTTATTTTGAACAAGAAGTGTTAAGGTAAAAGAATCTCTGCTGTTATACAGGCCAAGCACAGGCTTTCTAAGGGAAAGTGTATTTAAGGGGAATTCTCTTTGTTGTCTCATTTACTGAATTCACAGTATCAAAATGTCAATGAACTCCCAAGTTGGAGATATTTTTTCCATGTTAGTACTTTAAGTTACCACTTGAACATGAACAATAGTGAGATATTGAAAAATAATTAGAGATTGATGAATTTTAACTACACATTATATTTCTTCATTTACAGTATAATGAATATGGTAAGTTTATAAATTTTTTATTATAGTAATTGCTTGCATTTAGGAATGGCTGCTCTCAAGTACCTGACAATTTAGCAATTAACTGTTATGATCTAGGAAGAGCCAGTCTAAGAAGTCCAAGGCTTTCCATCTTTTTTCCAAGAAGACTATTCAAAGTAAATCCAATTAGCATTGTGTTGCCATAAAGGTGAAGAACATATTAAAAAAACTTTGGGGAGGTAGTATTTGAATAACAAAAGGATTTTTGAAAATGTTGAGCAGAATGTACTGTCAAAATCATTTAGGTTGAAATGCACATTAGTGTACAGAGACAAATGTTGCTATGAGGTTAGTTAAAATAGAAATAAATATTTTTATTTTAGACTGGTTTAGAAATACATCAGAGTTGAAGGCTAAGGAGCACAGGAACTCACCAAACCTCCACACTATCTTTGTGAGACAAGACACCACTTATATTGATGTATTTTGTAATTTCAGTAAATCTAATAATCCCTGCCTGTTGTTCAACTGATAAACTCAATTTCACATAGTTTCTAAATAGGCAAAGATTTGAAAGTGTTTACCTAGTGAAAGCGATCAGCATAAAACAGACTGAGATATGTAGCAGCGAAATATGTGAATTAACACTACATTGCACACAACAGTGCACAGTTCATAAGAACACAAATGGCAGCACAGACATGAAATCCCTGAGACACTTGTACACTCCAGAGTGGAGAATGAAATGTGAATAAAAGGAGATCAATGAGTAACTAGAGGGAGGACCCTTGCAGAGACACTACAGCAAATCAAGAATTGGCTTCAATTCAATTCTCAAGCAATGAAATCTAAACAGGCAACAGAAAAAAATTTTGAATTGGAGTTCTTCATCAAGAATTGATAATCATGTAATTTAAATCTTTCCCAGTGAAGTAATCCACATGTGAAGACACTGACATTTCTTGAATTGCCAGACAGATAGTGAGAACCCCCCCCCAAGGCAAAGATTTTACAGAGGCAAAGTCAAATTTCAGTCTCATATTAGGTATTTGATGTTTTCCAAGGTGGAAACAGAAAGTGAAGTGTCTGGTAGTGTTTCTTGCACTCTTTTGAGGCCAGCAAAACAAAGAAATGGTTCCAACCTTGCTGAGGGTGATGGCCTATGATCCTCTGTACAGTCGGGAGTAGGAAGGGACATGGCTCAATCACTGGAGCAGCACTGGGAATCTCAGTGGTTCTTAAAAACTAACTCTCTGACGAGACATTTTGGTGCTTGTGGGGAGGAATGCTGCACTAAATCTGCAAGAAGCGGCAGCTGAACAGTTCCTCTGGGAGGATTGAAAAGGCCAGCAAAAACTTTAATAGCATTTACAAGTGAGTTCTGTTTTCTTTTGCTACTCCTCATTCAAGAACTTCCGCAGTTGACACTTGAAAGATCTATAGCAGAAATTCTTGTTGCAAATTAAAAATGAAATTTGTAAAAACTTCAACTTGCCCAGGTCCAAAACAATCTTGAAATCATAAAGATGTGTTCAGAAAAATAACTAGACTTAATAAAACCTATATTTTTCATTACCCAAAATATATAGCTTTAGGCCAAAAGTACAAAAAGCTCATGATGAATAGATGATGCCCATAGCTTGAAATATCTGCTAAATCAGTAAAAATCAAGCCCATCAACTCTGTTCTGTAGTTCATTTCCTATCACTGAAATTTTATACTCATGTTTAGGTGAATTGCCTAGCTACAAGAAGGTAGAGATGGTAACTCAGAATTTCCTCAGCTTCCTTTTCCTCTCCAGGCTCTTTGTGATTGTGCAGTCATCGTCTGTAACCCTGATGTATATACTGTCTCACTGGTTTCCCTCATTGTCCTAAACCCTGTTTGTCAGCATCTCCCACTGCATCAGAGGGCTGGAATCCCATGGTTGATACTCATAGGGTCAGTACACACAGTAAGTGTGAACCTTTGTCTTTGGCGAGGATAACATTGTTGGGCCTGTTATCTTGTTTTTTTTCTTCACTCACTATTCCAGTAATTCTGCAGATTATTGTGTGGATTATCTTTATGATGCAGAGGACATCTGAGATGCTTACTATCCAATTCATATGAATGTCTTAAAATGAAATTCCATGAACGCCTGAAACACCTGCTGTTTCCAAATCTTGTTCTTTCAGTGATGTAAGACTTAATAGTCTTTGCAGCTCTACAACAAGAAGGTGTTGCTTTGGTTTGTGTGTGTGTGTGTGTGTGTGTGTGTGTGTGTGTGTGTTACACATGTGTATGAGTATACTTGCCTCTTTTATGTGTTGTGTGCATGTGTGTGGTGTTCTTGCTTATGTATGCTTGCATGAGTGTGTGCATGTATGCCAGAGAGCAACAGTGAGTTTTCTCTTCTATCATTCTCTATCTTAAAAAATTATTTTTCTGGGTGGTGGTAGCGCACACTTTTGTTCCCAGAACTGGGAGGTAGAGGCAAGCAGATCTCTGTGAGTTCGTGACCAGCCTGGTCTACACAATGATTTCCAGGACAGCCAGGACTGTTACACAGAGAAACCCCATCTCAAAAAAAATATTTTATGTGTATGAACTGTGCCTACATGTATGTATACAGCACATGTGTGCCTGGTACCCATGGAAGTCAGAAGAGGGGGTAGGATCTCTGGAAGTGGAGTTTTGGATATTGTGAGCTACTGTTCTAGGAACATAACCTGGGTCCTCTGCAAGAGCAGACTTAACTGTTGAGCTATCTCTTCAGCTTCTCCACTTGTTTTTGAGACATACTCTCACTAAATCTGGAG